GGAAGTGATGTAGCAGTAAAATCCAGGAGATGGAAGTAGTGCAACATCGTTGGATGCAAGCTGCCGTTAAAAATGAAAGAAGAAGAAAAGTTCTATTTTTAGGCAGTAGGTATTAGGTCTCGATTATTAGCAGGTCTTTTTCCTTAGTCGTACTTTAATAAAACAGGGAAGCACTTGTGTTACCAATTGGTTCAAAAGACGTATGAAGTAAGATTAGGGATGTGTGCGACAAGTCGACTAATTGCGCTATTGTCACTAGTTGGTACCAAACTTACTAGTTGTTGTATCCTAAATGTTATGCAGCCATTTGCCACCAGACGGTTGTTGAGAAACACCATATATAAGTTAATATAGCCCTTTGGTAACCCTATTAGAATGAGACTGCAGATACAAATGGCAGAAAATAGCTTTTTCCTAAAGGTGAATGGGCTTTGCCTTAGTGACAGGGTGTGGGGTTCAGAATAGAGCCACTATTCTTCCACACCAATCATCGGTGTCCAACCTAACAACCCTCAGGTCAGTGGCCCAGTGTTTTACTGTGTGTTTTATTTTATTTTATTTTATTTTATTTTATTTTTTCTTGTAAAAAAGCTTTTATTTTTATATTTTAAATATTAATGCAATTTATATTATTTCACTTTCAATCTGAAACATTTTATGAAAGCCTTGAAATTAATATGGTCTAGTGTCTTGATGCATGCTCAATCATCCAGATAAGTAAATCTCCAGAAGTTGATTCTGTTCATCTGGACGTAAGGTTAACTTGGTCTGATACTATGTTTAGCCACATGGGTGGCTGTAGCTCAGGTGGCAGAGCAGGTCAGCCACTAATCTGAAGGTCGGTGGTTCGATCCCAGGCTACCTCCTAGCTGCATGCCAAATATCCTTGGGCAAGATACTAACTAACCTGGTGGTGGTCAGAGGGCCCGGTGGCGCCAGTGTCCTCGCCTCTGTCAGTGCGCCCCAGGGCAGCTGTGGCTACAATGTAGCTTGCCGTGGATGAATGGGTGAATGACTGAATGTAGTGCTATACAAATGCAGGCCATTTACCATTTAAATTATACAGCTTGATCATGGCTGACAGCAGCTGTCCGATTTTACATGGAAGCAAACAGAGGTGATAGTAAAGAGGGGCATGATGTACACTAGACCATGTTTCCAAAAGTTGATTATCTTCATCTGGATGTAGCGTTTTCAGTGGGAGAAACGTTTGGTCACTCATCCAAGTGACTTCTTCAGTCTCAGCTGACTGCTGCAGGTTTCCCCAATCTTATAAACAGTACATTTGCACAATGACTGAAACCAGCCCACTGAGGAACAATGGGCAACTGCATATTTTAATACAACTTTTTGAGACTTACTGGAGATTTCTCTCTGTGTAAAACGGATGTTGGTCGGTGGAGCAGCTATACAAAGTTTGCTTTTCTTCATGTCAGAGTTTTGTTGATCAGGTGTGTAGATGAAGGACTCCAGCAGCTTTTTCCCAGCAAAGCTCTACCCGAGCTCACCACGATGTGTAAACTGACTCCGGCTCCACATTAAACTGTGCCAATGTCATCAACACTGCTACTGTTGTGTTATCAGTGTTTCTGTTCAAATCTGGGGGCTGTGTGGGCTTAATGTTGCCACAGATTTTATTCACACACTATTTAGGAACAGTATAACAGAGCCATGCATTAAACGGAGCATTGAAGCAAAGGATTTGTGTCGAGAAGTTTTTATAATCAGATTATTCGAAATATTTAATGAATCATTGCGGCCAGTGCAAACAAAAATCACCATCCCTCTGAGTGCTGAATTCACACAAATAAATCCAAATTTTAATTTAAATTGTGGGCTGAGATGCATTGCAGCAGTATGTGTGCACCTTCCTGTGGCTGTTCTCCTGATGAGACCATGCACGTGTCACGTTTCCACATCCTTCAGGTTGCAATCTGCCCTCTATCTATCTCCCCTTCTTCTATCTCTTTCTCTCGGCTATCTCTGTAAATGAGTGCATATATGGCTGGAACTAACCACTGTTTTTCAGGAGTAAGCATGGTCCAGAGAGCTCCCAGGAGGTGCACCTGTTCTCTAACCTGCAATCAGTGATAGTACCTAAGCCCAGTCTTCTACACCACCTGTTCCCAGATTTTTGATCTACAACAGTGGTATTGCTGCTCAGGCAATTTATGATTCAGCAATTTAATTTACTTGTTTGTTTTCTTTTAATGGCCAGATGACCAGTGCTTACCTGCTTACCGCTCATTCTTCGTAGTGAATCCTGTTTGGTGTGCCAGCTAGAAGTCCATCCCGAATGTCTGCCTAATCTACTCTCTCACACGCTCTTCAGAAATATTTTGGATTTTCTCTAAACCGTACAGGCTCAAATATATACACACGTCTCCCACTAATCCCCTTCTTTCGGCTTCTCCCTTTAGGGGTCGCCACAACATGTCATTTGCCTCCATTTCAGTGTGTTCCACACACACATTTCAACCTATTTAAAGTTATTTATCCATCTAACAGTGTCTCAGAGGCTGTCTGTGATTTTGAGTATGGATATATAAGTATGGGAAGCACAAATATTTATAGTTTGGAAAAAATGATGTAATTCCACCTCAGGTCATATGTGCGTAAGCTGCTATTTATAACTCTTGACCTTTCTCTCTCGTTCTCACACATACACGCAGTTTTGCACAAAGGTAACAGTCCCAGACCCTGACAATGACTAACAGGAGGGACAAGGTGTGCCAGATTTTCAAAATAAAACTTTCTTATTGGAAGATTAGTATGCTTTAAAAATGTGAAATGTTCAAAATAAAAGCCCTCAGTTACAAAAAACAAATCTCTGTGTGATTTTTTTAAAATAAAAGATAAGTATGTTTTTAAAATAATGTAATTTTGTAGCCCTAAGTCACAGCAGACAATACATTGGATGAAGTTTGAGCAGCAGCAACTATCCCTAACTATTATGCAACAAATTACATAGTCTTGTGAGCATGGTTCCACACTCAAACATATCTTTGTTTGGTTAATAATTTTGATGCATACTTAACAATATTCCAACCTGACAGGTTGATAGAAAGGGAAATGCTAAACAACCTAAAATAAACCATAATCCGTCGAGATAAAACATAATCAAAGCCAGAAACAAAGAAAACTAAACTAGGAAATATAATCAAGATCAAAACAACAATAAACAAACACAGAACTATGACAGTTTAGACTTGGGCCTAAAAATATATTCATCTGTGTTATAAAAACATCTTGCACAGACCTGCTAAGCCTAAAGGCAAGAGGGTTTTGTTAAGCTAAAAATGAGAACAGCACATTTATCATTCTACTTACAGGAGATTTATGGGAGGTGAAAAAATGGCTGGATTTCATTTGTCTCTTTAGTCATTAATCATAATATACATTAAAATGCTCAAGGCAAGATGTAAATATATGATATAGAAATTACTGTGATGCAATTTTTCCTTCTACTTTTTTTTTTTGGCTGCTGCCTTTAAGGGTCACCACAGCAGGTCATCTGCCTCAAAATTACCATGTCTCTATAATCCTCCCTTTTCACATCAGCCCTCTGCATGTCCTCCTTCGCTACATCTATGAATCTTCTCTGTGATTTTCCTATTTTACTCCTTCATGCCTGCTAACAGTATATCCATTGTCCCTGCTCGGGATGCCCAAACCACCCCAGCCTTGCCTCTCTGACCTTGTCTCCTAAATGCTGAGCTGCGATGTACTCAATTATTTTCTGTCAGTTCTCATCAGTCACCATCAAAATCTTAGCATTTTCAACTTTGCAACCTCCAGTTCTGCTTCCTGGTCACTGCCATCGTCCAAACCATATGCCATAACAGGTCTTACTATCATCTTGGAAATCTTCCCTTTCGCTCTTGCTGCTATCCTCCTGTCAAACCCCTTTCCACCCACCCCACACTGTCGGCATGCTCTTCTTCCTCTCTCTTATGCACTCTCTGTTGCTTTGGAGATTTGACCATGGATATTTAAATTTTTCCACTTTCAGAAATTCTATTCCTTGTACACTTTTGTGCTGCTTTTTGAAGGTGAGATGCTGTATTAGAGTAGTTTGCTTTTATGGTGTAAAATTTGATATGTCCCTGCGCGGGATGCCGTGGTGTCCACATCTATGTTGTATGTATAGTCTGAGGAGACATGCTGCACATGACTGATTATGCCTCGCAGGTATAATATTATATAGCACTAGATAGTGTAGAGGGAAGACTCAAACACGCAGCTAATAGGCCAAATAGACGGCATAAGACCGCACAGCCAACTCTGTGTTCTGGGTTTAACTCATGACTGTGTCAGCTTATAAAGCATCTGCCTCCTTATGCTTTTGTTAGTTGTTATATATGTAGCCATTCTGTGGTTGCACCATGTATGTTTAAGAATAGTGCTAAAGGGATGTGTTAAATGTAGCAAGAATTGTCCATAAATGGTCCATAAATGTTGGGAATGAGATCAGGTTTCTTGATATGCATTATGCTACGTATTGCTATGTATTAACAGACCTCTCTGTGTTGAATCATATCTGGTATTAACCTCTGTCTCTCTTCCACAGCATGTCTTTTATCCTGTCTTCCTTCTCTCACCCCAACTGGTCGCAGCAGATGGCCGCCCCTCCCTGAGCCTGGTTCTGCCGGAGGTTTCTTCCTGTTAAAAGGGAGTTTTTCCTTCCCACTGTCGCCAAAGTGCTTGCTCATAGGGGGTCATATGATTGTTGGGTTTTTCTCTGTATCTATGAAGCGCCTTGAGGCGACTTTTGTTGTGATTTGGCGCTATATAAATAAAATTGAATTGAATTGAATTGAATTGATATGAATCAAAGCAGCAGGCTGAAGACAACTTGCCACAATGCTGTTCACTGAACACTATCAACGTGTTTCTCTCAGTTCACTCAGCACCTCCATACAAACCTTTTTTCTTTTATAAAGCTTGAATTCAAAAACAGGAAAATTAGTTTGTTTTTGTGTAAATACAGAACTGGTTTATTCACATGAAATACCCCTGAATATAATGGTAAACAGAGAGTTTATATAAAAGGCACATATGCAATGATTAAAATTACAGCTAACTGTCCATGCTACGATGGACTGCTGTTTTTTTGCAAGCACACCAGTGTATTTTACAAATCATTGCAATCCTCAGTGTCCTGCACTGTTTATTACAAAAAATAGCAAACAGTACTGAATACAAACTAAAATATGTAATATCCATAAAAAATATGCATTACTGTAAGTGAACCACAGTTTATATCACAGAGACTTTTTGTTTTGTTTACGTTTGTTTATGTTTTTAAAAAAATTCACTCAGTGGTTTTCTGAGGAATCAGCAGACAACCTTAACACTGAAAAGAGCAGATGTGAGGCATGTGTCTGTCTTGTCTACAGAACCTTAAGTAGCACCTTAAAAATCTAAGATTAACCACAAAGCTTCATTTATTCTGGATACTATTTAGTTTAGTTAAAAAAAAAATAAAATGGATAAACGGGATTTGCAACACAGGCTGTCAGTGCCACACAATGCAAAAGCAAACCAATCGTTTCTCACATCAGGCCAGCACCAGAACAACAGTTTACCTCTGCTCAAGCTGAATAAAAGGCTAGAAATTGCTTTTGTGAACAATTACATTATTATAGTAATGCATCATTTCCTGGCTGGTCCTGATTCATTTTCCGAGGGGCTAAATGGCCCGTGGATGAGGTCAAAGGAGAGTGAAGCAGTAAAACCACTAACCCAGTTTCTCAGGGCCAGTCATACACATGTATGTACAAAGCCAATTCCAAAAGGTCAGGATATTGTGTTAAATCTAAATAAAACAGAAAGTAATGATTTATACATCTTACAAACCCATATTTTTATTTGCAATACAATATAGGACATATCAGCCCTTTAAACTCAGAAAATGTACCTCTGTAAGAATGTTGGCTCATTTTGAGTTTGATGCCAAAAACATGTCTCAAAAGGGTGGGACGGGCAACAAAACGCTGGAAAAGTAAGTGGTTTTAAAAAAAATTAGCTGGGTTAATTGGGAACAGGTTACAAACATGACTGAGTGTAAAAGAAGCATCTTGGAGCTGCAAGTAAACATGGTCAGAGGTTCGTCTATCTACAAAAAAAAGTCTTCAAGTTGTGGAACAATTTCAGAATAGATATTGTCAGTGTAAAACTTTGAATATCTCATCATTTTCAGTAAGTTAATTATCTGTTGTGCGAAGAAGGAATCATATGTGAGCGTGACCCTAAAGTACCAAAGCTAAGATAAAATGGACTGAGGTAAAGTGAAAAAATTCAGAACACTTTGAAATACGTTTTTGGAAACATGAACATACGTCATGTCCTCTGAGCTAAAGAGGAAGGAGGAATATCAAGCTTTTTTTCAGTTGAAAGCCTGCATATCTGATGGTCTAGATGTGTATCAGTCCCTATGAAATTGGCATCTTGCACAGCTGGAAATGCTTTATCAAGCATATATCAAGGTTTTAGAGTAACGTGTGCTCCACCAAGATTACGTGTTTTTCAGGGAAGGCCTTGCATGTTTCAGTAAGAAAATGCTGAACCACATACAGTATCTGTTTCAGCAGCATCGTGGTAGAAGACTGCAGATGTCGAACTGGCACACCTGCAGTCGAGGCTTTTCACCAACTGAGAACATTGGGAGCATCATGAAGTATATGGCAAAGAAGACCCAGGACTGCTGAGCAGCTATAATCCTCTATGAGACAAGAACGGGACCACGTTCTGCTCTCCTCAGCTCCCACACATTTACAGAATGTAGTGAAAAGAGGAAGGGACACTACACAGATGTAATTATGCCCCTAAGTTTTCTGAGATGTGTTGCTCCCATTAAAAATACCTATTTCTTAAAATGGTACATTTTCTCAGTTTAACCATGTTTTGTATCTTCTACTTTGAATCATTTCTGGGTTTATTTGCAAATGTATTTGATATTTGCAAATCATAATTCTCTGTTTTCATTTACATTTTTCACAGTTCTGTAAAACTGGATTTGTACATGTTTATATACACAATGCCAACACACATTTGGGGACAGCTGAGGGGGAATTTAGTTAAAGCAGTTTTTCTCAGAACTAAACTGTGGTTGAAGTTACTACTTAGGAAAACCTTTACATTTTTATTAATTTTTTATTCTACTCAGAGAAAAATTTATTTTAAAAAAAGACATATCAGAACTTGTAGTGGCCAGTCCTCTGTACAATCCATGCAGCATTTGGTGAGATACTTGAACCTGCCATCTGTAGAGCTATTCTATTAGCACAGCTATAACCACATCTTATAACCACTTTTCCAATTAGTAGATTACCTGCTCTACCTCCCGAGATGTAGCCATCCCTAAACATACATGGTCAGATATACACATATATACCACATGACCAGAATACAGTGGCCCAGGTTTGAATCTGACCTGGGACTCTTTGCTGCATGTCTTCCACCCTCTCTCTCTTTGCTTTCCTATCTGTCTCCACTGTTGCTATCAAATGGCAAAAAAATGGCTCTGCAAGCAGAGGAGTTGCTCCCTGCTGAACATTGGAGTAGAATTTAGGATTCAGGCACATCCACACTGACTTCCCTCTTCAAACCAGGAAGCTATATCTATCATTTTTAGACGCAATCTGTGGTTGTAAGCCAACAAACAATATAGTCGGTGGCTCCAGTAGGTGTGTATGGTTAATGAACAGCTAACACAATAGGAGAATACTCTTAAATATTTTTAAAGCGTGTAAATAACCTTGAAAGTGAGTTTGAAAATTTCAATCAAATCAAAACTACACATTTTTTGTTGTTGTTGTTTGTTTGTTTCTACCACTGACGCAACTCATCAATAATGCCAGACTAATGTGAGAAAGTGTTTGCCTTAATCCCTTAATTAAAACTAGTCAAACACTCAAAAGAACAGTTTATGAGTGTGTGGGTTTTGAATACTCAGTGCATGAGTACTATGAGTTATTATTTTAAGCAGTTCCAGAAAGTTAATTCTGTTTATCTGGATGTAGAATTTTCAGTGGGAGTTTTGTTCATCTTCCAAGTGACTTCTTTCATCATTGATCAATAGCCATGATACCATTTACAAAGACGGGCCTGGGAAACAGACGAACATGACATCAAGAAGGCCCTGAGTAAATGTGGTTATCTCAGCTGGACATTTGTCAAAGCTGGGAAGGCACCTAAAGAAAGCTCCAGCCAATCCAGGAGAGAAGACAGACAACTGCTGCCTAAGCAAAAACCCTTAGTGAACCCTTATGTGTCATGAGTATTGGAACAGCTGAGATGCATTTTCCCAAAACATCATGCCAATTTGCATAATAATGACCATGAAACTGACCTCACAGCCCATTGTTAGCCACTGGTGCCAGTTTTAGTCATTATGCAAACGTACTGTTTATAAGGTTGGGGAAGCCTGCAGTCAGCTGAGATGGGGGGATATAAGCTTGGATCTGAAGTTTTTATTGAACTGACACTATCAATTTTAACTAGCTTTCTCCAGATTGTATTCTGACACTGACAGAAATATTTCTGGCTCTGCAAAAGGCAAATACAGACACTTGCTTTAGAGTCAAATTCATGAAATCTATCAGATTGAATATATCCAAAACATCTTGAGTGTTTTGTATGGGAAATTTAACAGAAAAACTGATCTGTAAAAGTAATGCAGATGTAACTTATTTGGACAGAGAGGCAGAGCAGCCAAAGAAATCCATGCCGATGCTCCGGGGATAGCCTTCCAGTACCTTCAGTGCCACAGGGTCAAACTTCCAGTAGTGCATTCCACTCAGGAAATTGGCATAGCCTGTCAAAGGGCAAAAGAATGCAACAGTGAACTCCACATGTACATGTTAAAACCTTCTCTAGACCTACAAGTCACTAAGTCAGAGGCAGAGATTACACTCCTCACCATATCTGTCCAAAAAGGCTCCATCGATGTGGCTGGGCATTCCCCTCCACTCGTAAATGCTGTGGGGGTGTAAGTCATTAATTCGATTGTCCTGAATATTGAAGGACCAGTAGTAACTCGACTTGAAGAAGTAGACTTTCTCAGTATGGTCCTCTTCCCACTTCAAAGCTGCTTCAATGTGTGTTACAGGAAGACCCAGCCGTCTCACTGAATCTGGCCCTGTTATCTTCCTTTCAGCATCAAAAATCCAGTAGCTGTCACCTGATAAGTAATAATTAAAATTAATTATAATAATTAATTAATTACAATTAATAAATAAACAGGATGTTGTTTCTAGAAATCATCCCTGCTGAATACAAGTAAAGCACATCCTTGTGAAAAAGTACAACCATGTAACAACAACATTCAAGGCTACATATTTCTACCATAAACTCGTGTGTCACTGTGGTGAAGATTTATTTATTTATTTTTTTTAACCTTTTTCCTCATGTTCCCACGTTTCACCAGATTTACCGTAATTGTCGGGCTATAAGCTTTGAACCCTGCGGCTTTTAGTCGGGTGCGGCTTTTCTATGGATTGTCCATGATTTTTGTCATACCGTAAGACGATTTGTTTTGTTAGTTCTGCTGTTGTACGGCACTACGTTGCCTGGCGGAAGGGCATGTGATCAGACACACAGTATCGGGGTTCAAGAGTGGTATGTTGGTCACATGTCCATCCGCCAGGCAACATAGTGCCGTACACGTAGCGTGAAAAACAAACTTCAAAGTAGTGCTACCGGCGGCAATAAACTTGCGAAAAGCAAGTTATGCTCAACTCCACCGGTGGAATCTGACAGCGTGGAAAAGTGTGAAAAAATCCATGATCACCAACGGATTTCGAAGGGCTGGACTGCTGAATGATGGAGAGCAGGATACCGCCACGGCCCTTCTGAGGGTGTTAGACTCTGACACTGACAACGAGGATTTGTTTGGTTTTGAAAGTGACAACGAAGGAGAGAAGCGGAGAGTGGATGACGAAGCCACCCTGAGCCTGATCGTATCCGACACTGGAGAAGAGGACTTTGGTGGTTTTAGTGCGCAGGAAGAAGAGAAAGATGGTGGTGAATGACTGACTTTTCTTCTTGTTAAAGCCGTGTCACTGCACCTGAGCCTAAAAGGTAGTCCGAATCTATTTTTCTGGTGTGCTGTAGGTTATTGTTATGTACTACATTTGTTACTCATTTATGAAGCACAGTACATGTTTCGTACTTGTAATTACCGCTACTTGTACATATACCCTAAAAAGTTATGCAAATATGAACCCATAACTTGTTTTTCAAAATATTAATAAAAGGGGTGTGTCTCCAAACAGCCATCTCTTTCCTGACAATTCCCTTGCATATTCCCCGTGCATATTCTCTTACATATGATAAGTCAACATTGAAACACCTGCGGCTTTTAGTCAGGTGCGGCTAATGTATGTACAAAACAGGATTTTCCCCTGATTTTAGCTTGTGCGGCTAATATTCAGGTGCGCTTTGTAGTCCGGGACATACTGTACCTCATTTCCTCTCTTGACTTTCTCATCACTGATTGGCTCCTGAGTATCTTTCTCCCTTAACTGAACTCACCAGACACACATTTTATAAAGGCTTCACTCCCTTTCCCTCACTATTTTAACTTCCACGTGGCAGTTAAGAATTTTACAGTCCATGTGTATCTTCCTTTAAGGTAAACTACATTTGCAAAGTCATTGATAGCTGTTTTCTTTACATTCTGACTGCCTAACAATGTTAACTTTCAGCTTCCTAATTAGCAATCCCTACATATCATTAAAGTTATCAAAATCCCTTTTGCTTGACTAGTTTTGAGGAACAAAGGATATTTTGTGGAAATACTTGTTTAATGTGTCCTTCCCCCATGTCCCCCAGAAAAAAAATGTCTAGTTCGCGTCTGTACCTTGGAAGAACCAGATGTTGCCAGACTTGTCTTCAAATGCAGCATCAATGTGTTCTGGAATTCCTTTCCAGTGGCGTGATGATAAAGCTGGATAGCCAGCTTGTAGCTGCCCGTCACGTATTCGCCAAATATATTGAGACTTAAAGAAGAAGAGCTCTCCCCTGATCATGGATACAGCATCAAAGTTTGTTTTGCAAGCATTTGGCTGGAACACAGCAACAAACTTAGTCTGAATATTTTTGTCTATGAACTATCGTGCAAAGCAGCAAAATACAGAATGGCTTATATTTTTTAAGTAAATACATGTATTTTCAAGGGCCTCACCAGTTCAGTCTCAATCTCATTGGTCTCTGTCATCACAGGCGGCGTGTGCCGAGGGGATCCGTATAGATACTGAATGCCCCTTTTGTCATCCTCACTCAGCTGCAGAGGGTAAGCGTCACTATAGAATGGGCACATCACAGCATCGGGCTCAAGGGAGTGCTGCAGGCCCAAAACATGGCCAAACTCATGAGCTGCCACTTGGAGGAGGTCTGTGCCTAAAAAAGCAAACAGAGGAGGGCAGTCATACTTAGAGTAGTTATTTTTGGTTCCAATCAGCTCAAAGCTTTTCAAATGTACTTACCAGCATTATTGCCCACTGTCCAGTGCTCATCATAGTCAAAGTGGACTTCTCCCTCTCTCTGTGTCTGGGGGAAATAGGCGTGAGCAAGGATTCCTCCTGGACCATCGAATGGTAAGCTGTCCCCATGCCAGTACCTACACAATTACTTCTTTTAGAGGACGAGGTAAACCTACCACATATCATTCTTTTGATGCTCTTTCTCTATGCTAAGCATGTTGCAAATTGAGTACAGTGTAACTCTTAATTCTAAGTATTAGTTCTAAATCGCAGTGCACATCATTCAGTGATTCAGCTAATACCCTTATACACATCCAATTGGCAGTGTTGTGCAGATACATAAATCAACAATCTTCCTCTGTGTGTGTGTGTGTGTGTGTGTGTGTGTGTGCGTGTGCGTGTGTGTGTGTGCGTGCATTCTACTATACTTGTGAGAACCAACAGTCACTTGTGAGGACACACTCACCGGTCCTCACCAGTTTGAAGGCTTACAATTAGGTTATGGTTAGGTTTAGGGTCAGGGTTAGGCATTCATTTTTAATGGTTAGGGTTCACCCAACTGCTGAACGGCAGTGCTCATCCACAAAAATATTTTGAAGCACAACATTTAATGCATTGCCATATGACAACAAAAGGATCATTTTGTTGTCATATGGTAATAATGAGAACTCCTTGTGTCCTAAATTAGTTTGCTTTTAGTGATATTGGTAAATGCTAAATGGACTGGTTTCAGTTATTGAGTCATCATGTTCAGGACTCTGAAACAGATTCTGCGAGGCATGAAGACATGTGTAAGAACAAAATTAAATATTTATTTTACTTTCACAATAGGACATGACTGGTATAATTAAATATGCCAAAAAGTGAGTAGCTGTTAAAGGGAATGTCTGCTTGTAGAATTATACTTGGATTGCATTATTTAGCTAGAAGAAGTGATACGATGGTCAAATGACTTTTTATGTGGACTTGTTGACTAGTTGAAATTTCAGTGGACCAATGTTTCTGTAAGGAAACTATGTAGGACATGCTTTGACATTAAAGTATGTCAATAAGCTACATATTAGGCACATGATGCAATTCTACGCTGCACCCAGTAAAGTAGTGGCTAGCCTATTTTAATGTCTACAAAGTATGTTATACAAAAAATGGTAGCGTGATAGATTTTAACTGAGTACATAATATTAAACACAATATAGCAGTAGTTCTAAAAATGACTCATGAAAGTAACTTTTACACACGTTAGAACTTGAATTGCTGACAAAGTGAAGTGTGGCAGGACACTGAAAAACAGGATAGCTGTTATGACATTGTAAGTATCATGAATCTGATGCCAAATGACTCTTCTGATTTGATACAATATGTAGCCAGAGGCATGCTATTAAAAATCCCACCAAACAAGTCCTATGTTGCATTTGTTCCATAATCTTCTCTCAGTCTTGGCTGGGAGACATCTGGTTTAGTGTTTCCTGGTTTACTATGACAGCAGGAGTCATGCCTAAGATTTATGTCTGGGTCTTTAAAAAAAAGTTGATTCTGTTCATCTGGGCGTAGCGTTTTCGGTTGGAGAAATGTTTCATCACTCATCCAAGTGACATCTAGTCTCAGCTGACTGCAGGTTTCCCCAACTTTTTAAACTGTATATTTAAATAATGACTGAAACCAGCACCACTGGCAAACACTGGGCTATGATCCAGAAACTGACCTCACAGCCCATTGTTCGCCATTGGTGCTAGTGCGAGAGAGTAAAAGGTCTTTTATGTTTAAACTGATAAAAAGTGCTATAACAGACCTCCTCCATATTTGCTAATAGTAAATCATCTTTATTCCTAACTAAAGATATAATCAAAATATAAGTTTGATTAATATGTTGAATGAGAAATGCAGTTTGATTAATGAAAACTATTCTAATGTCCAGATTGTGTCTGCACAGACATGATCCAGGTTTGACCTTGGCAGCTTAGAGTCTGTCTGTGTGTGTCTGGAAAATGCCTAAGATTTATGTGTGTCTGGAAAAACGTGAAAGATAAGAAATGTGCCGCCAACCCATAATTATACATGATTCTGAATAAGATAAAGTAAGAGAAATGTAATTGAAGAGAAATACCATAACTTAAATAAGGCATGAAAGGAAGCATATTCATGTGTGACTGAACATTCATATGTGCTGGAATTATTGACAAATTAAGTACTGCATGGAAAAGACAAGAAAAATAATGAAGTGATTTTTAAAGTTGCTTTAAATAATATATCTGGAAAAGCCAGATAGAGAGAGAGAGGTTAGGTGAAAAAGTGATACAGGGTTCTTCCCTTTGTCTTCTGCGTGATGAGCAGTTCAGAAGATCAGACCTAAGATGTTGAAGATTCCAGCAGAGACCCCGGAGGGATCGACCGCTGGACTGTGAACCTGCAAACTGTTTGTTTATTTTTTTTGGTTTTTTTTTTGTTCTTTTTACCATGTTAGAATATTAATTCAAAAGGATTTGGATTTGATTTGTTTCCCGTTGATGTGTTTCCTAATGGGTCATACCTACATGGAAGAGATAAGGACATCGGTGCTCAAGGCACGCTCATTCCCCCTAACCTCCTCCCTCACAAGGAT